AAAGAGATGGAGTTTCACTTTGTTGCCCAGGTTGCAGTGCAGTAGCATGATCTCGACTCACTGCAACCTCCACCTCCCAGGTTCAAGCGATCCTCCCACCTAGGCTCCTGAGTAGCTGGAATTACAGGCCCACGCCACGACATCCAGCTAATTTTTTTGTGTTTTTAGTAGGGACAGGTTTCACCATGTTGGCCAGGCTGGTCTCAAACTCCTGACCTCAAGTGATCTGTCTGCCTCGGCCTCCCAAAGTGCTTGCATTACAGGCATGAGCCACCTCGCCCAGGCTGTTGGTTTCTTTTCTTTCTTTCTTTTTTTTGAGACGGAGTCTAGCACTGTCGTCCAGGCTGGAGTGCAGTGGCGTGATCTCGGCTCAATGCAACCTCTGCCTCCCAGGTTCAAGCAATTCTCCTGCCTCAACCTCCCAAGTAGCTGAGACTACAGGCGCCCACCTCCACACCCGGATAATTTTTTTTATTTTTAGTAGAAACGGGGTTTCACCATATTGGCCAGGCTGGTCTCGAACCCCTGACCTTGTGATCCACCCGCCTCAGCCTCCCAAAGTGCTGGAATTACAGGTGTGAGCCACCTCACCCAGTCTGTTGGTTTCTTATTTATTGATTTTTATGGGATCCCTAAGCAGAGATGTTAGTTTCTTGCTTGCTGTTCAACTGTCCCCGGTCTGAGAGCCCAGTAGGAGTGCGGGGGTTGCTGGGCTGTCCTGGTCGCCATTGCACGCCCAGCAATGCCTAGTGCAGGACCATAGGGAGAGTAGATATTCAGGGAGTTTTTGTGAATGAATGGGTGGACGAATGAATGAGTCCCTCTGTGCACCCCCTGGCCCGTCTGTCTCTTTGAGTCAGTCTGTCACTCACTGTCGCACCCACCTGTGTCCCACGCCCCAGGTCTCTCCCCCATGGGTGCCCCGATACCCCAAGATGTCTACAGGCCTTAGGGGAAGAGAGGGAGGTTTGTAGACTGGCTCCCGGGGCACCTGCCCTGGGCAGGGTCAGCCAGACTAACAGGCTTCATCCTTCCATCTGCCCCCAGCCCCAGGCCGCCGCGGCCCCGCAGCGCTGGTCTCCGAAGTCTTCGAGCAGCACCTGGGAGGTCACATCTTGCAGGTGAGTGAGGCCCCTTCCCTCCCTGCTGCTCCTTGCCGCCACCTAGCGGCCGCCTCTGGAGAACAGCAGCCTCTTCAGCATCCATCCATGGTGGGGGGAACCTGGACTGGGAAGCCGAATGCTCAAGATCCCCCCCATTCCCTGCGCCTTCCGAGGACCACTGAAGCCCCCTCCCCACCAGAACAGTCCACCTCAGGCGGAGACCCAGGTTTCAGAACCTCTTACCACTTGGTGGCTGGACAAAGGGACAACAGGTCCACCCTTCCCCCTGCCTGTCTCTCCCGGCTCTAGTCCCTGGATGGCTTTGTGTTCGCCTTGAACCAGGAAGGAAAATTCCTCTACATCTCAGAGACAGTCTCCATCTATCTGGGTCTCTCACAGGTAAGGGACCCCCAGTGGGCCTGGATTGGCTCAGCCACCATCTCCCTTGCCAGGCCCATGCATGCCCTTCCTCTCTCCTGGCCTCACCACTGCAGCAAGAAAAATGGACTGGATCTCTGTGGTCCCCAAAGTGTGTTCCTTGGCAACCCACATGGCACCCAACACGGTTCATCCTCGAAGGCAGAGAAGGGCCAATTTTTGTTTTTATTTTTTTATTTTTTTAATTTTTTTGAGATGGAGTTTTGCTCTTGTTGCCCAGGCTGGAGTGCAGTGGCGCGATCTCGGCTCAGTACAACCTCCACTTCCCAGGTTCAAACAATTCTCCTGCCTCAGCCTCCCGAGTAGCTGGGACTATAGGCACATGCCACCACACCCGGCTAACTTTTTGTAATTTTAGTAGAGACGGGGTTTTACCGTGTTAGCCAGGATAGTCTAGATCTCCTGATCTCGTGATCCACCCGCCTCGGCCTCCCAAAGTGCTAGGATTACAGCATGAGCCACTGTGCCCGGCTCAGGAGGGCTGTTAAAGTAACAGGTAGATCTGAGGAAAGCAGGTTAGCCGAAAGATCAGTTTGCCAATTACTGGCGGGCCAGATGCACCATATTTGCCAACACTTGTTTCCTCTTAACAATTTTAAAGGTTTACAGGCCCGGCACACCGGCTCATGCCTGTAATCCCAATACTTTGGGAGGCTGAGGCAGGAGGATCACTTGAGGCCAGGAATTCAAAACCAGCCTGGGCAACACAGTGAGACATCCCACCACTACCACCCCCTCCATCTCTACAAAAAAACTTAGAAATTAGGCAGGCATGGTGGCACACTGTTGTCCTAGCTACTCAGGAGGTTAAGATGGGAGGATTGCTTGAGCCCACGGGGTCAAGGCTGCAGTGAGCCGTGATGGAGCCACTATACTCCAGCCTGGACAATAAAGTGAGGCTCTGCCTTTAAAAAAGAAAAAGAAAAAGAAAAGAAAAAGGTTTAGAGTAATTAGTATTGGAAGGGATTGAGGTATTGAGGTTTACCAGCTTTGGAAGGTTTTTGTGGTGTTCTGGTTGATCGGCTTGCATTTCTGTCTTTATCTCAAGCTCTTGTTTTCACCCCAGCTCCTGCAGTTGGAGGCTAATGAGTAAGTAAAAGAAGGGCAGATGGCCGGGCATGGTGGCTCACGCCCATAATCCCAGCACTTTGGGAGGCCGAGGCGGGTGAATCACCTGAGGTTGGGAGTTCAAGACCAGCCTGACCAACATGGAGAAACCCTATCTCTCTACTAAAAAAAAATAAATACAAAATTAGCCAGGTGTGGTGGTGGACACCTGTAACCCCAGCTACTTGGGAGGCTGAGGCAGGATAATC